ACCCCTATTTATCTCATTTCAATGAACATTCCTTTGTTGTCTGCATTGTTTACTGTCTGTTTATACTGTTTATTCTGCATTGTTTGCACTGTTTGTTGCTGTTAATATTGCTTATTTTTGTTATATTACACAGCCTTATGCTGGTTTACTGTTTGCACATTGAGAGCCGATGTACCTGAGTCAAATTCCTCGTGTGTCCATCACACCTGGCCAATAAATCTGATTCTGATTAAGATGTTAAGTGTGGAATTGCTGGGTTTCTGTTTAACATCTTGGATTTGGTGCCTCCACTGTGTGTTTTCTTTTTGACTCCACATTTGGCAGCTTCTCATCTGGATTCAGACTGTGTGGTGAGGGGCATCCTGACCACAGTGGAGGGGTTTCCTTCCTTTTTGTCATTGAGTTTAAAGCTGATACGTAGGGAAACACCACTGGCTACTGTTACACTGCTCTCAGCCTGTTGATAAGGTGCTGTACAATCAGGGCTTCGTGATTTCTGTGGTTAGGCAAATTATGCTGAAGGTTATGTCAGGAAACGTTTTGGTTATGACATTTACAAGTTAATAAAATAAGATTGGTGGAATACAGTTGAAGAAAAAGCAAACTGTAAAACATTGGGTTTGAACCAGGGCTTGCATTTCTTCAGTTGGTGGAAACTTAATGACTGCTATATCTACAATATATATTTAAAACTGATGCAGTGTTGAACTGAAATGAACACTGTTCTGAACTCAGTCTACTCTGAATGGAGTCATTATAAATATATCAACAGATGTAACCGGGGCTGTAAAGTTAATAGTGTCCAAATGTTTGTTATGACATGGAAAATGAACTGTAAGCCACCAGCTGCAAGAAGAAGGCAGAAGGTTTTGAACTTGACTGACCAAGGGTGTGACAGTAGCTAGCAGTACACAGCCTTAGGTTTTGTTTGTTTGTTTTTAACTTGAGCTGCTTAAAGCCTTTCATACTGCCATGACCATAAAGTATCGTTTTTTTTTGTTGTTGTTGTTTTTTTAAATTCTCGCTGCTCTGCAAATGTCTTTGGAGGATCGACAACTTCCTGAATTAGATATTTGTTACATAATCAGTTTGCTCATCTCTGATGCATGCAGACACCACCACATGCTATTCCTTTGTGTCCATAAAGAACATCCAGAGCCGTTTATTTTCCTGTTGATGATCACTTTTAAAAACCAGTGAAAGTGAATAAGCAACACCTCTGCTCTTGCTCCTTTACAGCCCACCTGTGCTCATCACTGGGCCAAACTCAAGTTGGAGGCTGATGTGAATGTTACTGGCAGAGTCCACTGGTGGCCTGTCCATACATGGTAAAATCATTGTTTGGCTGATTTAATCAAAAATAGCAATAAGACATGTCAGGAAGATGAATGGAGCTTTTTCCCCAAGAGGAGAAACTTCTGTCTGCTCCAATCAAGAAGGACCAACAGCTTTGCCTTTTGTGGTTTCCCACTTGTTGTTGAGCCTGCTCTAAATCATGCAGCTCAGTAATAAATTTCCAGGTTAATTCAAGTATCTGATGTGTGTGTGTGTGTGTGTGTGTGTGTGTGTTGTAAGTCCCAGTAGGGTTACAGAGAAATGGAATGTTCAGATGAGATTGGCTGAAATGTTTGTCCAACATTTTTCAATTCTGTGAAATATCAAAGCTTGTATTTTCTTGTTAACTTATGAGAAGACTGTTGTAAAGATGCAGTGAGCAGTCAGTGTTGTGTTGGTGTTAGCTTGTGCTGCCATAAAAACCTACAACAATATAATCAGTCCAATATTGCTTTACTGTCATATAGTATATTAGCAGTTCTCAAACCGAGTGGGAGGGGGCTCTCAGAGTACTTTTCTATGTACTTTTTTTATTATGGTAATAACAACACTTTAACAGATCTGAGACAAGTTCACAATGATTTTTGTATACAGTCAAATTACAAGTATTTCTTTAAAAAGGCCCAGTATTTGTTTGGACTGCAACTCAGTGAAAGTGCTAATGAAATGGCTGGTTAGTCTGTAGTTATTGTTCCTAATAAATTTCTTCCTAAAATCATTTTAGGAATAAAAATATAAATATGTAGATATACCACATTGCACTTCATCAGAAAGTTGTCACCTTTTCCAGTTCTGTCACACACAGGCTTCTCTATGCAAATAGAAATGAGCCATGCTTTTAAACATGCATACACTTGCTGTGAGCTTAGACAGGTTTGGTCTTGTTGTTTCTTCTAAAGAATAAACAAATAAACTTGATTTTGGACCTCGTCCCCTTTGTTCAGGCCTGGGTTCTATTATCTCTGCTAAAGGGGATCTTTATCGTTATTGGGGGGGCAGCATGGGGAGCATGGTTTCTTTTTATTCAAGAGTGCAGCCTTGTAGAATGTGAGAAATTCTGTTATTTATTTTCATTTGTGGTTAGAAATTAGAACTTGGAGTACTCAAAACATGTGGCTGCAATTAGAGGAGTTGTAAAGACTTGAAGACGTGTAACTGCCAGACGTCTAGCACCAGTTTCCATGCAGTGTCTTTTCACGCTCTACAGGTGAACAAAGGCAAACGTAACCAAAAATAACCAGCACCCGGCTCCTTTCTGGTTGAACCATAGCCTCACCCGCAAGGACCCATCCCCACTCAAGCCCAAGAGCCTCACTGTGATTAATTAAGCAGTCTAGATTTCAAGGAGATGTTGACACAGTGGGCCTAAGGCACAGAGTACAGCAGAGCTGCAGCCGACTGCTGGGGACCTCATGTCATCATGTTGATGTGTAGCAGTTCATTTTCCTGTTTGTTGAAGCAGCTCACCTCGGTTGTGCATTGTATCTGATCTGTACGTATGACAAAGGGGTTTGATAAGCAGCCTGCTAAGTAGTTTGCATTTGAGATACTAACACAATTGCTTTTTTCACCTTTGACAATTTCAGGGTAACTAATGTGACTCTGTAAATGGCAGTAAAATGAGTTTGTTGTCATGATGACAAAGGATTTTTGAAAGAGATTTGAATTGAAAATGACAAGTGACCACTACCACCCTCCCCTTTGACTATACAGTATATTGCCTCTACCCAAAGCCGCACACCTGAATAGTACTGGCAGGGAGACCCTAGCCGGCGTGCCGTAGAGCCATGACTGTTGCAGGTCATGGCTTGTTTGCTCAGACTACCAGCATTTATAGTTTTGAGGCAAAATTGTAGGTTACAAATAATGTTTAAAAGGCACTTGCAACATAAGGTATATTGGTTTTGATTTCTCTGACCGAAATAGCAATTTATGACTAGCACTTATGTCAAAACTTAGCATTTTAAGAGTCTAAAAAGCTGACACTGTCTGGAGTGTGTGCGACCCATCAGCAAAGATAACATTTAGACAGAATACTTTAATTTGGAAATTTGGGCTTTTGTTGATTGCATAAACAAAATCCCAATTTACATTATGTCAGCTTCTCCATTCTAGTTTAATGAATTCCAAGCAAAGGGCCACATGTATTCAATTTTTGTCTCTTAGGCCATATTCCTTAGGCTGATAAATATAAAATGTATCCTAACTGTCAAATAGTGACATGGAGTTTAAAATAACATGGAGATGAAGTCATGGTGTTAAACAATGCTGTGTGACAGAGTGCTCATTGTGAAATAACCTTAAAATGCTGTTTTTGGCATGTTAAATGGGGGAATTTTTTTTATAATTGGATAAAATTTCCATTTATTAGCTTTCTAGATTGCTAAATAAGAATGCTGCAGTCATATATCAATTCCTAAATACTGTACATATTTTGACGTGTTTGTGCTCATGTCAACATGAGTGATTACAACCAATTTAGGTTTTAGACTTGTGCAAGATCCAGCCATATGGGGTCCTGTGGGAAATCTATGAGGGAGTTATTTCACTGGTAAAGCTTTCGATGGGCAGCCTCGCAAATCTCTGTGGCTGAAGTTCACTACACCTGCTATAGATCAGTATACAGATGTCTCTCCTAGCACTATCTACGTACTGTACATGTCTATGCCTTTGTGTGTTGTGTTCCATTATACATTGTACATAGTGTACTGTATGACCAACACAAGACATGCCTTAAGGCACTGGTAAAATGCTACAAAATTTGTTTGAGGGCAATTGGAGTTTATTAATCCTCATTTGTGACAAAGACCAATGTAAATGATATTATTTAATTGAAGGAACATCCATTTTCCCTTTGCCTATTGAATTACTTTTTAATTTGTTTTAACTTTATTCCTTTTATGTATACCTACAATTAAAGTGAGTAAAGCAATGAATTTTGAGAATAAGGGCCCGAGCTGAATGAATGATGATGAATTTTGGGGTAAAAAGTGCCATTTGCAAAAAAAAGGTGATTTGAACCAGTGATTATGAAATTCACTATTTCAAAAACAGCACAAATGTTCTTTATTTAACTCTTTTATTCATTGCTCCCTAATTCACTGATGTAAATGTCACTTCAGATTTTATTTTGCTCTGTCAACAAATTGCGGCCTCTCTTTTTGCAGTGTAAGGTTTTTCACAATTCCGCTTTACAAATTAAAAAGGGTAATTTTTCCTTCTCCCTTCTGAGAAGCTTTTTTGAAAGAAAATCATCTTTACTTGAAAATAACTTTGTCAGTTTCTTAGAAGTGCATGACTTTTTCAAGGAAGTAGCAATTAGGAAACCGTGTGCGATGCTGCGATATCCCACTTCATTTTTCATACACTGCTCCTTACAGCAAAAGGATGAGGAACAGCGATATTGTTGCTTTGGACCTATAGAGTTGATTCTGACATTTTTATATACTGTCTTTACATTTTATTAATGTGTATTTTGTTTAACTTGATGTTAGAGCTAAGTGATAATTAATTGACTTTTCAATATTGATATAGCCTTTCCATGTTATCATTCAGAAATTTTACATTCACCATAACATGGCAGACACTGATTGTAAAAAATCTAGAGCTTTATATGCTATGATATTGTCCTCTGGACTGACAGATCTTTGTCATTTGATCTGCAGGTTCAGGGGAGGGATGTGGAAAGATCATTCAGCGATTCCCCAAGAAGGACTGGGAGGGAACAGCCTTTCCTCAGGGGGTGGAGATGGTGAGTGATAACAGCCTCCTACTGTATAAACTCAAAATAATTCAAACAGCACTGCGTATTTCAAGTACCTGACAGTATTACCTGGTGGTATTGCATCTTTTCATCAGCAGAGAAATACAAATGGCATTACTTCCTGTTTAGAAGTGTTAATGATCAAACAGTGCATAATAAATCATGAGAAGCAATGAATCAGTCAAGGATATGCAACAGTGCTCATAGCTGATGTGACAGTACTTGAACAGTGTTTTGGAGAGATTAACCTCATATGTGGAAAGAGT